TAGCGGCCTCCTGGCGGCACAAGGCGTTAAGTCTAAGCACTACCAAGCTATTGCCAGCAACTGTAGCATGAGTTAGATCCCCAGGCAAGGCGCTAACCCCACATGGTGCAGCAGACCTTTCCTGCCTCACCCTCAGCAGTGTATTTCAGCAGATCTGCCTGTTCTATTCCCCACTCTGTCTCTGGTGAATCCCCTCACTCCCCCCACCCCGGGCTACACCCCAGTTCTTGTATGCATAAATAAAAATTAAAAAAAAAAATCAATTACAAAATCTTTTCCATTTACCAGAAAATACTGTTACACTACTTGGTGTCAACTATGCAATAAAACTGTACTAGAGAAATTCCTTTCAGAATTCAGTATCAGAAATCTGTCATCCAGCAGAACTCGTGTGTTTCTTCTTTTTGAGAGAAGGTGCTGAATATCTCAGAATCAATTAAAAACTTAATTGGGACAACCATATCAATGCCCTTAATAACTACATGGTTTTATTGCTAATTTTTACCTTCCTTTTTGTTTCAAAATCTTTAGGGTCAACATGAATTTGTTTGTATGCACAAACAGAATATATATATACATAGTAAAGTTATTACAATGGTGTAACTTGCTAGTGTAACTTATAGAAATTTAAAAACCTGGATTCAGAAAAATCAACATTCCAGGAGCCCAGAGAAACAATAAAAGTGGTACTAACCACTGTCGTGCTTTGATTTAAAAAAAAAAAAAAAAAAAATTGTGAACATACTTTGTAAACAATTTAGGCATTTTTACTCCTACAACTTAATTTCTAATCTTAAATTCTTATCAACCTTTTTGGCTGAAATTTGTATTTTGGTTGTGAATCAGTAACACAAGAATTTGAAATTTTTACATTATCAGAGCAACTTATTAATTACACCTTTTCCCCCTATTTTATTTCCTAGAATTTAGTTTTCTTTCAATTTGAATTATCCCACAAACCCCAATAAAACGAAAAAAAAAGTACAATTTTTACCCTTTTTTCAGTTCTACTTTCTAACATTCTATTAAAAATGATTTGAATAAAAAACCCTATTACGGCTTTACCTTCATATCACAGTATCTTAGCATTTTTAAGGACTCCACACACCAGCTTTAACATTATATGGCAAGAAGACATAATTTAGAGTTGTTTACTACAGACAGGCTCTTAAGAATCTGGGGAAGGGCCTCCCTGGTGGCACAGCAGTTGAGCGCTGGGTTTGCGAAGCTGCCCGCAGCCTCTGCAGCACTGGTTCGATCCCCGGCTGCTCCCCAGCCACCAGAGGAGGGTCCCACAGGGCACGCAGACCTCTCCTGCTGCCCGCTGCTCCCCTCAGCAGTGTACTCCGGTCCTTCTGCCTGCTCTGCTCCCCGCTCTGGCTCTGGTGAATTCTCTCACCCTTCCGTGCTTCTGACTGTACCCAGTGCTTGTATAAATAAACAAACAAACAATCAATCAATCTTTAAAAAAAAAAAAAAAGGAATCTGGGGAAGTAACATAGTTCCACAAACCCAAATATGCCAAGCACTACTTATAAGCTAATAATGTACTATGACTTTTCAAGTGCTTAGGTATAAAGCTTTAAATTCATTTAAAGCATTTATTTCGTTGAAAATATTAGCTATTTTCTCCGTAAGTAAAAATTAAAGCATAACCAATGATGTGGAGTTCATAAAAATGTTTCAAGTGAAAAGGGGCTCGTTTTTTAAAGACCGGGCTACTAGCTCAATTGCAAGGTTTTAATGTAAGACAGTCCTAAATATGAAACCTGCCTCTATTTTTACTAGCTGAATGACCTTGGGAAAGGCCTTAACCTTAAACTCAGACCCACCATGTTTTTTATTAGTCAGAATTTGCCTGAGATTTATCATCAGTACTGTGCACCAAATTTCAGAATCAAAGAAACTGTCAATAACTGTAAGAAAGGGGTATGAAATGCACAAAATAGGAGGTACAGCACTTAGCCTAGAATAAACAGACTGCAGGGGACCTTTCTTTTTTTAATGTCTAATATCGGAAGTTAGATTACAAAGCTTAGGTAAGGCTCAGATCAAACTACTCAAGATGACAGAATTAAGAAGTTAAAGAGAAGCAAATTTTGGCTTCCTAATAATCAGTTACCCCACACATTGGAACAGATTACTCAAAAAAAGAACTCTAAGTATTCATACAAAAGTTTAAGGTGAAAAAAAAAAAGTTTAAGGTGAAGCTACCAGACCAATTATGTAGAAATTTGCAAAAAGCGTAGTGCACAAGAAAACTGATTTTACTCAATAGTCTCCCAGACTTTAAGGGAGGGAGCAAAGATGATCACAACAGTTGCTGTGCTTTTAGGTTTGTCATTAAATTTTCATAATAATTCTGTGAACTAAGTACCATATTTTAAAGATGAGAAAACTGAGGCCAAATGTTCATCTTAATTTGATCAGTTACACAGTGGGTATAAGTGGCAGAGCCCATTTTCAAATCCTGAATCAATGTGAGCTCATTACTTTTATCAATGGATCTCAACCTTGACTCCTATAAAGCTTATAAAAATCCCTATCACCAGGCCACCTTCTAGGCAGACCAATTAAATTGAAGTCCCCAGAGGAGAGACCCAAGTATTACGGCCTTTAGCAAAGTTTCTAAGTGAGTATCAGGTAGTTATTTAGTTTTCAGTTCTAAAATTTCCATCTTGTTCTCTAGTATTAAAAACAAAATAAAGTTTGTAAGTGATGTACAGGTGCAGCCATGACTAAAACCTACTGCTCCACTCATACCTAGGGTTAGCAATAAAGTTTTATCGGAACACATCATGTTGCTTTGTTTACATATCGCCTATGGCTTCCAAGCTACAATGGCAGTTAGGTAACCTGTGACCAGCAGAGCCCAAGATATTTACTATTTGGGTCTTTTTATAGTAAAAAAAGTGCCAACCCTTACTCTATACCATACTATGTCCTAACCAGAATGCTCTTATATGACCCATTTTCTGGCACTAAATGAAGTTAGATTTAGAGATACTAAAAAAAGTTGTGAAAAGCTTAATGGCTGGAATGTACAAACATATCATTGATACAAACCAAATCTGAGTTAAGCAAGGTTCAGAAACCAAAATGGGGCCTCCCTGGTGGTGCAGGGGTTAAAGACACTGCACTATCAAGCTATAGCCAGCCACTGAAGCATGAGTGGATTCCCAGCCAGCCAGGGAGCTGACCCACATGGCACAGCAGACCTCTCCTGCCTCACCCGCTGCTCCCCTCAGCAGTGTATTTCAGTCCATTTGCCTGCCCTGCTCCCGACTCGGTCTCTGGTGAATCCTCTCACCCCCCGCATCTCTGGCCTGCACCCCAGTTCTTAAATAAATCTTTAAAAAAAACAAGAAGAAACCAAAAATGATATCAATGACATACAAAGTTATCTAAGATGTCAGAAGCATACTGAAAGTATTTAAAACTACCAAAAGTTAATGTAGGATAGACTTAGACCAATATAAGCATAGCTAGAGATGCTTGCTAAGAAAATTCCTAGTAATGTTATTTCTGACCATGCATTGTGATTCAGTATTAATGCTTTTGTCTTCTGTGAACTACTCCCTATTATAGTTGGCATTACTTTTTAGGAAGCACATTGGCTCTGATTAATTTTATCAACTGCTACCCCAAAATCTGCTTACCCCTTAAACTATGTGCATGTGTATTTAAAAAAACAAACAAACAAAAAACACTACAGGGTTCCTGCCCTAGTATTAAAGAATTAACCATGTAGCAGAAAGAAAATGTAACTTTAATTTCTGAGACTTGCTTCAAGACCTTCTAAATCAAAAATTAACCTAAATAAACACTGCAGAGAAAAATCTACCCATTACTTTAATAAAGAAACTGCACCAGGATTTTTATTGCTAAAGACTTGATTAGCATGAAGAAAAAGAACAGTAAATAGTATTCATTATACATGCAGGCTTATTTTCACATTAAGTAAAATTTATGAAAAATTAAACCCAAACCCAAAAAGAAGGAACCATTTCACAGATTTACTATGGCATTTTGCCCTTTGGGAACCAATAATACTTTTTATCAGAAAGCATTCCATCCCTGGATGATCATCATCATGTATATTAGACACTGAACAATTAACAATGTTTTGGGACAAAAGAATCATTAAACCATGTGTCACAGTGGTCCACCAAGTCTGAAATCTGCATAGGAAAACCTCAAACCCACTGGTTCGCTTCTTCAAATAAAATTAAATTAGGCAATTAAACTGAAAAGTTTCTATCTTTCTATTTACACAACAAAGGTTTACCACCCCATTCATTAAAAAACTCACACCACAAATATGATGTTAGGATTCTTATATACATTCCTTTGGGAATAATATATTAAGACAAAGGTTTGAAAGGCTTCTCCTAACCAATCAATAGAGAAAGGAAATGAGGTGAGAGTGGGACAAACATCAAATATTCCAGCTTCTTTCCAAGATTTTTGGTAAATCCAGAACAGTAGCTCTAGACAAATGAAAATAATCATTTTTTCGCAACATCCCATAAGACATCTAAAGGTTTAAATACAAAAAACAAACAAACAAACAAAAAAAAAAAACACCCACAGTAAAAAATGGTTTGTTTTGTCTAGATTATATACAACTGAAGATTTTATCTTTCCAAGTACTGGGGGTAAAAAATATGGAGCACAGAAACTAAATATCAAGGAAGTCAAAGAACTATATAGGAAGTAGAGTCTCTGGGCCATGCAATAATATAGGCAATGCCTGATTAACACAGCCTTTGAAAAACTCACATATACATATCTATTAAGATACACCAAAATTACTTGTTTCAACGATTTTACCCCCTCTATTATATATTAACAAGTTTAATATTACATACTAAATTACTTTTACACTAAAAAAAAACAAAAAAACAAAAAAAACACCAAATTTTAAGAACACACGTCAAGATTATACCCAAATAGAGTGAGAATGAAAACTGAGATACCTTTGTATATATAATATTTACCTGGCTCTTCCTTGATGAATGACAACTCTTCTTCTGGATAGGCAACAGGTGGCTGCATCACTGAGCAATCTTCTAAATTTGTTTCATTAGGTGGTATATTATAAACAAATCTCTTTGCCGTCTGGTTTTTCCTCCTTGTTTTGCCAGTTTCTTGAATTCCCTGGGCGCCCATATTATTCCAAACAAACACTTTTGTTTGAGTTTCAGATTCATTTTCAGCCAATTCAGAAGAACCATCCTGGACCCAACCACTGTCATTCATTTGGTAGTTTTCTATTTGGCCCTCGTCGACATTACAACCATCATTTTCAATTTTTACATTACTTGCCAAATTGGTAAGATTCCGTGTTGCCCAAAAACTGGCAATTTTTTGATCCCGTGATGAAGACAGACCATCTCTATTAACTGGTTTTCTATTATTATAGTCCACAACTACAGACTCCGGAGCTTCTGATTTAATGCTTATATTTAAGGCATCTTTAATGAAATTTCGGCAAGTTTGAACAACTTCACTCATTTGAAGATAGCTGGCCACTGTCATCACTTCAATGGCATTTTGGCTTGTGAGCACCAGGTTACCAGAATACAAGAAGTCCAAGATGACTGAAAAACCTTGAACTGCAGCAATATCTAAATGGGTAGTATTGTTTTGGTTAGGGCTTTCTTTGTTTGAAAAGCAATATAAAGTCTTAAAGAAACGGCTGCCTGCAACCAGGATGTTCTTATGAGCTTTAAAGATTTTTCCGCTCACCACAATGCTGACATCACAAAGAATACCTTTCTTTCTCTGTTCATTTAGTTGTCGAAGAAGTTGATAGCAATATGAGTTCTCATTTGGCCTACTATTAAAGTCACAGTACCCCTCCTCTGATGGTATTTCTGACTCCTGTAATTGGATGGAAAACATTTATTAACTTTATTTTTTTAAAGCCCCCAATCCAAGGAAAACAAAAATCATCAATACAAATTTTTAAAAAGCACTAGTCATATATACTAACTTCTCAGTAATCATTATGTACTTTCCAAGTGAATTGTTCACAATCTCAAAGTTAGAGAGTAAAGGAGTGAACAGATTGGTCCAAGTCTATTAAGAAAAACCAAACATTTGAATAAAGATCATCAGGATTTACAAAATAACACATGTTAATGTTATGCTTTTCAAATGTACGCTAAGGGCATGGATTAAGAATTATTAAAATTAAAATAAAAAGAACATATATTTCCTTATAAAAAAGTTTCATTTATAATAATCAGATTAGTTGCCTTATTATCTCTTCAACTGATAGAAATGCAGTAGACTCTTCTGATTGAACTTCATCTCAAGTCTGGGCAACAAATGAGTCAAATAGTTTAGGTCCAGAAAGTTAATTAAATCTAAGTAGAGCTACAGTAAGTCAAGACCCTCCCAAATAAGAAAATAATGCTTCACCTAATGGAAATGTCCAGTTTTCTAATTTCCCAACTTTCAAAAATGTCTTACTTCTTCAGTGCCATAACTATTAACTGTAAAAATTTCTGAACTCAAAAATTTTAGTTTGAAAAGTTTCCCCTCTTATCAATTACAAGTATTATAGTTCTGATTTGCATCACTAAACTTAAGGAAATGTCCTACGAAACAATAAAAGTTGTATGATATAACAGCAAGGAAAAAAGGAGTACGATTTAGACTCTGAAATGCTGTCTGTTAGTAACTTTATATCCTGGGCAAGTCACCATTCCTGAGCCTTTTTCTTAAACCATAAAGCGGTAGTTTGAATGTTTTGTAATTAATAACTTCTTGACTTTTCTCACTGAGTAACTAGGATAGGTATGCTCCATAAAAGGCAGAGATGTGTGACCTCAGCACCTTCCCTAGTACCTGACTGTTTAATAACCTCACCATTTTTTTGCCAATAAAAAAACTGCTCAGACAGTTCTATCTAGTATAAAAGATGAATGAAAATATTGTTCTTATTTAGATGTTAATTTTTGTCATATTTTCTTCGGGACAAATATTAGCTTCAAATAGGCCATTTCTATAAAACAATGCAATAATACAGATCTATTTTATGAGTATGAGACAAACATGGGAAGACAGGCGGCCTAGAGAGACTCAGCAAATTAGAGGAGAAAATAAAGAGTGTAGAGAACACAGTTGTTAGTGCAAAAGATTCTCACAGAAACTATACTCTAAATGGTGGTGGGATTCCTAAACAATCCTAAAACCCCATTTTAACCTATCAGGGATATGGTTAAGTTATAAAAAAAATATTAGCTTCAGCTCTAGATCTTTGACAAAGGAGATCATATTTACAATAATCCCAATTCTCTGAAAATATACCAAGTCACAAGGTCAATTTAAGATTTTCTGTGATACTTGAGGTATGAGAAGTCAACTGGAAGAATCCAAATTAGAAATTTCAGGACATTTTCAGTGTTTTCCACAATGGAACAGTACAAATACTCTGCAAATCTGGGGAATATGATCACTAAAAAAGGAAAACTGCTAAGTATTTAAGTTACTTTTCACTTTCAATTGACATTTTACAGCTGCCCTATCAGCCCCAGCCACCCCTCCCAACAGTGTCTGAAATGCATAAAGCCCTTACAAAACTCTCTTCCACATTCTATCATACCAAAGGTTCCAATGCTCTAATTAGTTACTTTCTCCTTTCATAAAATACCCAAAATCCTCAACTGAAACTGGTATTAGCCAACTTACGAATAATCAAAATATATTTTCATGACTGAATCCCAAATTTTTGCTTTTGGGGGTGGAGAAAGGAATTAAGGCAAAACAGATGTTCTAAGATCTGTATATAAGCCAATGTGTTGTGAAGTTTCAAACCGTTTAAGCAAAGGGCAGTGAAAACACTTAGAATGTGTGAAAATATAAAGAACTAAACCAATACCAATAAAACACCTATAATAACTATATACTAAGCATGTATTTTTTTTTTAGTAAAAACATCATACTGTTTACTTGAGCTCCCTTTTTTGAGACTATTCAAATAAAACATTTTACTAAAATATTTATGCTCTCTACCCTCTACAGGAATTTCCAATCTTTCTGTGGTGCAGGCCTGAAAGTAAATCTTGCTAGGCTTGTTTTATCTGCCCAAAGCACATTTGGTTCACAGTTCTAATAAATAGGTAGTTCAATAACAGTATGAATACTTGAAGAAGTAAAAATTTTAAATGCTGATCAAAATTTGGCAGTACACCATGAAGTGTTTATGGAAGCAGTGAATTACCATTTACAAGTTAAGAACTGCGTATCAAGCAGTCCAACACACTTTAAGAAGGTAGCTGTAGCTAGCAGAAACAGTCATTTTAGGTTATGATCACTGGGTCAGTCTTAATTTCTGAAATTCTCTGCTAACACCAGACCAAATATTCTAATTAAAAAACCAAAAACTCAGACAAAGGCCTAGCCACCAAAATATGCACCCATGCTACGGTAACACAAACTACACATATCAAAACAACTATTCAACCAATTTTTTCTCATTACTACTATACAAGAATAGTTATGTTCCCTGCTTTCAGAAGTAACACCAGCAATTTCTTTTTTTAACCACTGATTAGAGCACATGCCTGCGTTTTTGTTGCAGCTATTAAGTAAGTCCTTCAAAATGAAGGGTTTAGAAGTCAAAAGTACATGTACTCAAAGGGATTTGAGGATTTGGGTAAAACAAAGCAAAACAAGCACACAAGCAGTAAGATAAATAGCCAATATTACTATTGTTTGGCTGAACCAAATTAAGCAATTCTTAGTATTAAAGACAAAAATCTTAAATTATGTCCCAAGAGGTCATGTTGTCACTTTCGTTCCTCCTTCAACATTCCACATTCACTCTTAGTATGTTGATAACAAGAGATAAAACCAATAAGCAAAAGCACCATGAAAAGGCATAAATATTTCTAAAACTGGTTTTTTTAGAAAATATTGGGAAACTTATTTCCTTCCTCAAAAAGGAAAGCACAACTTAGCCCAGACATTAGTCTAAACTGGCTAAACAAGAAGATTTTAAGGAAATGGACATTGACTTCAAAAATCCAACAATGCTACAACAGTGATTCTATAAATACACCATGTCTTCATTTTTTTATTTGGGAAGAGGCCTGTAAAATTATAATTTTAGATCAGGAAGAGACCTTAGAATTAACTCTACCAAACTTAGGAGACTAGAAAAATGTTCCTTTAGTTAAAATACTCATCTTCAAATTTATTTCCAGAAAAGATGAAAAAGAGTATTTTATTTACAGTGGAAAAAGCTAACAGCCTCAACTTTATTTCATTATTTACTGTTGAGTGCCTATTTAAGTCAGGTTCTACATCGGGGACCCAACAAAAGGAAGCAGGTTCTCAATCTCAAGTTACCACTAAAGGATAAGTCGTGAAAGTATTGAAGAGTATGACAAGGGGGTTCTGAGAGCAAATAGGATGGTTGCGTGGGTGGGGGTAGGGTGGGAGGGGCAGAACACAACTTTGAGGTAGGGGTAATGCTTTTTGGAAGAAAAGTGTTATCTGAGAAAAGCCTTAAAATACCTAAGAATAGGATGGGAAGATGAGCATTCTAAATGCGACAGCATGAGGAAAAGAACCAAGAGGAACTGCAGCATCCTCAGTCCACATGATCAAAGAAAAGAAAGTCCAGGTGATTCAAAGCACAAGAAATGCAAATATGCACCTATTTGAAGGTATATGTCTATAGCTTTCATCAGATTATCAAAAGATTTGAACATCCCACAAGATTAAGAACCATTGCCTCACAGAGCTGTAGAAGTGGTCTGATTGGAGTAGCAGACACAAGAGATGACTGTGGCAGCAAGTGGAAGATTACTATCAAAGGACTAAGACTGGAGATACTGTGACCAGTTTGGGAAGTTACTGTTAATAGTGCAACATACTTGCAAGACACAAGGACCTTAACTAGAGAAGACCCATAATCTTAATGAGGGGAGGGGCGAGAAAGAATCTGGAAAAATATTTGGAAGATAAAGTCAGTAGAACTTGAGTGGTTATAGCAGAACTAGAACTGAAAGGGAGGCTGAGAGAAGAATCATGGCATTCTATCAATCTTCTAGATAAAGCCACCAAACTTGTAGAGACTCCAAGACTATCACCTGGTTCCCCCCCCTTCAAAGGGAAAGAGTGGGAGATAATAATGTCAGTGGCAATAAGTGAGCTCATCTGTAGTCAATCCATAAATGATAAGAAAATGCTACTTACTTAAAAACCAACAATTAGTATTTACTTCCCTACCCAGAATTATAGTCCTTTTGATAAATGGATTAGCAGAATAAAGACATTTCCAACACAAACATCAAAGCTGAAAGCATTATAAACAAAAATCTTTACTACCTTTGTTGCATGTAGCAACCCACTGGAAAAGTATATTGAAAGCAAAAAAATAAATAAATAAATTTCCAAATTTTAGGGGAAAAGTCAAATTCCTTTTCTAGAATTAGAGCAAATAATGCCACAGCAAAAGTGATTCCAAATATGCCTGTGGTATACTTGTCAGTACCGGCTAAAATAATAGCCAGTAGAGAAAGACAGGAAGGTCTCTTTTGCAGTCTTCTTTCTAATCACCGCTAAGATCTTGAGTGATAGCATCTTCCCTTGCTAATTTAAGTACCACCCCCTGCAAATTCTAATTCTATAGGTCTGGGGTGGAAATCTTCAGGTGATTATTAATACTCAGTCAATTTGAGATACCAAGGCTATGCTTTATCACGAGCTCTCTCCTCAAATTATAAACCCTTACACACTACTCAAGAACCTACAAACAGCAATATATACTCATTTCACCCTTAGTCTCAACTGCATAAAACTGTTAAACAGCTGGGCCATTTGTCAACAGAAAACAGAACTGATTTAGCCTAACATATTCCACAAGTGTTGGTTACCTAGGGAAACTTAAATTTTTTTGTCTGACTAACCAAATTATGCACTTTTCAGACACATCAAGATACGAATTCATCCTGCTCATGCTGCCTCCAGGTGCAGTGTCTGGAATGCCCTAACCTTCCAGTTCAACGCCTATGCTTTCAACACAATTAAGTTTCCAAGCTAGCTCTTCAAGCTTCTCCCAACCTTTGAAGAGATAATCGATGACTCCTTTTATTATTTTTACTGTAACCTGAACATGCTTCTACTAACATGGTATGAATTTATTGTAATCTGTCCTACTATACTAAACTACAAATTCCAAAAAAGGCAAAGAAAAAGGTCTTATTTATAGGTTTATATGGAGTACCTAATATAAGTAAGTTGAAGAGGAAGACGCCAACATAAGACACACTGTAAAAGACACACACTATTTAAACGATGAAAAACACAGGGGAAATAAACAATCCTTACTGGATCAAACACAATAAATGAATGTTGAAGCCTATGGAAATATTATTATACAAAATAGCCATAAGAGGTTCAATTATCTTTCTCTCAGTCTTCATGAAAGTTTTTTCAGACTTTCTTTCTAAATTGTTAAACAAAAAAATAAAGCTGTTGACTTTTATTTTTGTCCAATGCAAAGTCTGGTAGATCTCTTACCTTGCTTTAGTTGCTGACATCAACATTTTCCAACTAGCATTTTCAAATAGATCACTGATTTCAATTCAGTGTTTACTTTCTAGGAAGGGTAACTAAATTTGTAACAGATTTGAGTTCATGTTTTAGTAAACTGGAAAGGTTGATAGAATGTGTGAGGTAGGCCATGCAGGTTTCATAATTGGGTATAAAGTGGCCCAAACCAAGATAACCGTGGTAACCACTGCTAAAATTTATATTGCCTCTACATCCTTGTATTCACAAAGCCAGAAATCTCTCTGAAATAGAAGGCTCAGAACAGATTCAGAAAACATTAACACTCTCATCAGCAGACCTTAACCTTACAAAATTATAGAACATTTTGTAATTTTTTAGTCACCACCATAGAATTAATAGAAAAAAACTTTCCTTACTTATAGAAAACAAAGAAAAGCAACCTTTAATGACATAAGAAAAAACTACTCCAGGTCACAAACAGAATTCCTGCCAGAACTCTCATTTCAGTATTTTAAGACAGGAGAAATCTAATGCAAAATATTCTTTATAAACTAGGGGAAAAAACCTGTATGTATGATAAGAAAGTCTCAGAATGTTCAAAGAACTGGAGATACCAAAGGAGAACTGATTTGTTCATGCTGACAAATACTGATTCCCTGAGAGAAAGTGACTTCCAAACTGATAAAACTGGTAACACCGAGTCATGTGGTACCAGGTCACACCCCAAAAAAATCTTGCTATCTAGCTATCTGTGATGAAATTAAGTAATGTTTATCCTTTACTAAATGATTATGTGCTGACAAATACACTTTGCATGCATGAGGAAACCAGAGTTAACTCATTTGGCCTGCCTAGAAAGTAGGTTTAGGACCAGGTCTCCCCAACCATAAGCCCCAGAGTGCTCTTACAGGCTGTGTTGTACTGCCTCCTATAGGTAATCAAAGGCAATAGGGCAATGGGGGAAAAAAAATGACTCAACTCTTGAATGGAAGTCAGTTCTTGAACCTGTGCTTCATATTCAATCACAAAACAAAGACATATGTCTGGAATCAATAGCAAGGTATCACTCAAAACTAAACTTAGCATGAAAATAGATAAATGATTAGGTTCAATTCAGATCAGAATCACCTGAAATCTGATCAAGGGAACCAATATACAGACAAACATGACCCACTAAATTGTGTAGTCCTCAAGATAATAAAAAAAGAGTCCTACAAGCAAGTGGTCTTCCAGACTACACAAGAGTTTTTCAAGGGGATAAGAAAGGCTAATTTAGAGATCAAGTTTAGAAAAGTTTCTACCTAGGATCCAACTCCCTGATTCAGACTTACTGCTATTAGAGATAGATCATGCATGTCCTACCATACATTTATCCAACTAAATCTGACTTCACCTGACTTCAGGTTCACTAAGTAGTTAATTATAATTTGCATCCCCATTCAGATTTCCCAACAGAGACTATGCTGATCAGGAGTAACTGGTCTATTGCACATTCATGCAATCCACTGTCTTCTGTAAGTTTCTACAGAACCAACCTGTCATTACTTAGAAAAGTACCCTCATTTTTCGTTAAGTCCCCCACCCCCATCATCTTCCTAAATACCTTCCACAATACAGTACATAACCCTCTAACGGCTCAGACTCTTCTTCCGTAGAATGGGAACAAAATACTCTGCAGTGTTAAGGCAAATTTGTATTTGACACACCGAAGAGAAGGAAATGTTAGTTCTACTTCACCCCCCTGCCCAAGCTCACAAAGCTGGTAACTGTAGAAAGCCAAGATATGAACCCAGATTTACTCTGAGACCCATTCTTTTTCCATTACAACATTCCTCATAGGCTCTAGTCTCAGTCGTCAGCAAGGACTCTAGGACTTGGGACAATTTACTTAACCTTTCTGGGCTTTCTATCTTTAAGTGACCTTCCTTCTAAAGCTTAGGCAACCAAAATTTGTGAAAAAACTATTGCCATTGTCCACTGAGATACATAACCCCATGCTTTAAAGTTAAAGCCTTAGCTTCTGAGAAACTTCTGTGCTATGGGATTATTGGATAGTGCCCAATTAACTCCCGTATAAGTGTTCTGAACAGCAAGATCGTTCCAGTAAACAAACTCACGGAGGGAATATCTGAAAGCTGACTTTTTACAACCAAGGACTAGTTGCCAATACAAAAGAATGAATTCCATCCAAACCACCATTGTCTGATAGTCTTAAAAGGAGAACTTATCAACATCTGTTTGGCTTGCAAAGGGATTATCAAAATGGTAAGACTACTATCTTTAGAGTGGAAATATTAAAACAAGAACTAAGAACTAAAAGTACAGCTTACTTGTTTTGTAACTAAGGACTTAGGATTTCAAGGAGTTTGGTAAATATATTCTCTACCAGTCCAAATCAACTACTTGATACAACTTCACATTAAACATTTCTAATATGCTAAGTTTAAAGTAAACTGCATTTGTAAGAAACTTTTTGAAAAGAGAAGGGGATTACAGAAAATCTCAGCACAGAAATCTGGGTAGAAGGAAATAAGTAAAAACTACAGTAATTTACCAAGAGCATGCTTTGGTAAGAAAGTTCAAAAGAAGTTCAATGGAGAGGAATTCGATGAAATTTTTCATGAGAAAGGAGTGTTATCCAAACAGCTTCCTCCACATTTATATACAGCTCTCCTATTTCACATTATCCTGACCTGACATAAAGAATTTTCTTGGTTGGATGTTTACCCGAAAGAGGTAGCCTCAAAGGTTATTGTTTAATTCATTCGTCCAAGAGTTGCCAGATTTGACTGCCACCAGCACGTTGTTAACAGACTATGAACATAATGCAGCTTTTCTAAAAATCACAACTAATAAAATTTTTGACCACAAAGCCAACCTTTTAGGGTTAAACCCCTCAGCCTCGCTTTATTAAGCTTTTTAATTCCATCCGATGAGCAAAGAACATGTTATAGGTCCTTACCCCCTAACAAATAGAGCCACAAAAAAACCAACACAAATTCTGCGTTACGATCCGAAAATTGTCTTTCCAGCCCACCCCACCCCCCAACACACATAACTTTCGAAAACTTGTTCCCAGGCTTTTTTTCTAACCCCCCACGCACAAGCTCCCTGCACCTCTCCGCAACTGGAACGATGCCCTTCCCCGAGCAAAGTGGGGTTTGTAGCGGCTAAACCTCTCCTAAAAAAAAAAAAAAAAAAAATGAGAAAGTAGGAGCAGGATATACAGTACCTGGGCGTTGGCTTCGTGGAGTTTATGCTCGGTAGAGACGTGGTGCCTCAGAAGCAGGGTTTTCTTGTAGTTGCGGGTACCTCGCGAAAGCTCATCGTGCCCCACTTGAGGAAGGTCTACGCATCCCCCGTCCTCTGGGGTCTTTTGGCACCAGCCGCAAGACATCAGGCCAGTATCCTTGGAATACCGCAGCCAGGGAAAATCTTTGAGCCAAGAGGTCTGGAAGGAGCACTGTAGCTTCTGCATTAGGGACTTGGGCCGCGCGAGCGGGAAGTGCTGGACAGTCTCTCCTTCGCCAGCTCCCACACCGCTGCCCTCCACTTCGTCCCCGCCATCGCCGCCCGACCGCCTGCTGCTGCTGCAGCTGCCGCCTTCCGCCCCGCTGCCGTCGCCCAGGCTCGCCCCCTCCTCCTCGTCCTCGGTGCTGTCGCTCAGGGACGCGCCGTCCTGCATCAACTCCTTCCCCTCCAGCGCGTCCAGCTCCAGCTCCACCGCCGCTGGCCCTCGCCCATTGAAATGCCTCAGGGGCCACGCCGAGGTCTCGGGGCGGCCGCGGCTACTTCCATTGTTGCCGAGACCCCCGCCGCCGCCGCCTCCTCTGAAGGCCAGAGTCCGACGGTTCCTTTCCGCTAACAGGGGGCCCCCCGCGCCACCGCCGCCCAGCGAGGTGGGGCCGCCCGCGTCTTGGGGGAGCAGTAACTCCTTGGTTTCCTCGGCGGCGGCGGCGGCAGCCGCCCCGGCGGAGGCCTCCGGGTCTTGGGGCTCCAGGCCCTCCAATTCCACTTCCTCGTCGGCCCCCCGCCCATTGAGCTGCTGAGGCGCCGGCGGCGCCGGCGGCTGGAGCTGTCTCGGCTGGGGCTGCTGAGGCCAAGCCGAGGCCTCCCCGCCAGCGTTATTGTTCGTGGAGCCGCCGCTGGCGGTGACCAACCCGCCTCCTCGGAACGCCAGCGTCCTGCGGTTCATTTCACTGAACGACATGGCGCGCGCCGCCGCCCGGTGCCCCGGCTCGCGCCCGGCCTCGGGCCGCGTCCCGCGCGCTCCCCCTCCGCCTCGCCCCCGCCCCCGCCCCCGGCGTTCCGGTCTCGCGGGGCCCGGCCTCGCCCTCCCGCCCCGCTCGCGCTCGCGCCCGGGGCTGCCTCACGCGTCCGCCGTCGCCCGCCGGGCCGCCGCCTCCGGCCGCCTCCTCGTCCTCCACCCCCGCCCCGCCGCGCTCCGGGCAGCGTCCCGCGCGGAGAAGGGGGCGGGCGGCGGGGAGGTGAGGAGCGAGCCGGGGGCGCGCGGGGCCTTCGAAGTTGAGCGGCGGAGTGCGGGGAGACCCTCCGCTGCCCCCGCTTTAAAGCCGCGCGCGCACACACCGACCCTCCAAACAGATATCCTTCCTCCGGCGCGCCGAGGAGTCCCGACTCCGCCGCCGGCTTCCGAGGCGCCGAGGGCGAGCGGCGCGCTAAACTGCCCGGCTCCGCCACATAACGAACCGACAATAAAGCCGGCGGAGCGTTTCCGTCCGACCAGGCCCTGGCGGAGGTCGAATGGCAAATGAACAACGGACCGTGCGCCCACAATGCACCGGGGTAGCAGTAACCGCTGGAGGGGGAAAGGGTGGGGCCGGGCTGGGGGAGGGGGGCTGGGCTTGGGGCTGGGCTGGGGTGGGGTGGGGGCGCCAGGGGACCGGGAAAGGGGCCGGGCCGCGCCTCCGGCCTGGGGGCGGGGGTGCGGCCGCGGGGAAGGAAGTCGGCGGAGGGGCGGGGGACAAAAGGCCGGGCGGCCGGCTGGGGGTCTCTGGGAGGGGGCGGGCGTGTGCGGCCGGGGCCGGGCTAAGCGGAGGACAAACAGCTGGCGAGTGTCAGGGTCTGGCCGCCTCCCCGCTGCCCACACGCACCTACCCGCGCCCGGGACGTGCATTTTCCTTCTCTCGCCACGAGTTCACCTGGGACTTTGGAAATAACTGTGCCGGGAGAGCTGCGCGCCAGCCTTGTCATTTGTTGGGGGTGGGTGGCGGTGGCCAAGGAAGTGAACTTATTTTGTTCCTTCACAAAGACTGGACCAGGCGGTGCCTTTCACGCCAGGAGGTTCCAACCGCGGACACCTCCTCGTCTGCAGCTTTGTGTTGCGAGAGGCTGAACCTCGGGCCCGAGGCAATAATCATTTCACAGAAAATGCACCGCCCCGAGTGTCTTATTGCTGTGATGAAATGGAAATTTAAATAAAAGGTCGAACACGTGCGTTCACTGGGAAGTATTGACATGGGTGTTACATCACCAGCAGCCAATCAGATAACGCCAGTCGTGTTTATACTTCTACAACCACCTTGTGAGTATTACAGTATGTCATAACGTTATAAATATTAGGCAGGGTTTTCCCCAGGAGCGGGGAGGAGTCCGCTTCTACGGTCGTGGTGTGCGGCTCGGAAGATGGTGTGTTGAAAGCTATTCATTTGTTGAAGCCTTCATTTTCACTCTTGGCATTGCCTGGAATTTGGAATGCCTGGGAGAACAGTTGGAGCAGAAGCTGAAACGCACGGTCTCAGTCCCGACTTTTTCAGATTTGCCACCTTAGAGCCCTTCTGCACGCCTTGGAAAATTTTAAGCTGCCGAATGTAGCCAATGCTGAAGTGTTTAGACGCCTTCTTTTAAAATGTAGATTGACTCTTGCATTGGTTTTACTCAGATGTCTTTCAAGTTAAAAAAAAAAAAAAGATGGTCGCCCATGAGGGGCTCTACTCTTTTTTAAGAAATACGTTAAAAGTTCAGTCACGAACTAACATAATATGTGTTCTAGGGAAAAGGATATTTATGTGGGAGGGTATGTTTTTACATTAATAGATATTAGGGTGTACAGGAGCAAAATAAATACAAATTTTATAGTTACAGATTACCTGGTGTCAGAAACTTTATATGTCTACGTATATATTGGAAATCTATGTAGGTTTCATAAAGAGCTTGTGTGACAATAGTTAGACCTTCTAGTTTCATGATTCTTGTTCGCCTCGGAAATTTCTATTTGAAAAATAAGAAAAATATTTAAAACTTTGAATACATGATATGGGAGATGGTCTGTTTTTCAAGATTAACTTTAAAAATCAATTTTGGCAGACATACTATAAAGTATCATCTGTCTTGATATTTTTAAATGCACTGAATAGATGTATGGACGTTGATAGTCACATACACTATACTATTGATTTTATCGATGTAGTCAAAGCAACTCTCACTTAATTCACCGAAATTTCAATATCAGAATAAATGGCCAGTGTTGTATATCAAACAAAAAATATTATAGTTCTGCCTTGCAGATGAAATATTATTTTAATATTATGAATGATGCTACTAATCTGCCACAAAAAGATTTTGACTTTATTTTTCCACTAATGATCATATTGTCACCTATCCTTATTGTCACACGGCCACCAGGGATCACCAGCTTGAAATTCTGAAATAGATTGGTACAGTTTGTGAGGTTTTAAAATTTTTGTCCAGCTTTGTTTTGGTGGTTAGGTTTAGGACAGTAGACTCTCTGACCTTGACCTCAATTGTACTTTGGAGAAAAGAGAAGATTTTGCCCTATGGCACATATAATGTGTGCTTCCTTGTAGTAGATGGAAGAATGTAGTAACAGTACTGTGGCATGTCCTTAAATGCAGTTTGTAAAATTCCAAGCACTTTGCAAATAAATACATTATTTATTATATTCTGACCATTGCTGCCTCCCCTACAAAGAGAGAGTTACTGAAGTTAATTGCTCCGCTAGGATTAAAATGATGGGAAATGAAAATGGACAGAAAAATTTTTATTTTAATTTTAAAGGTTGTTTTCATTCCCAGACTGTTAAATTCATATCTTTGCTTCTTTTCATCTTATATACCTATTATATAATAGGCACTGTATAGTTTTAAATTTTTTAAGCCATAATATTATGTCAGGGCTGCATTTTTCTCAGACATTTATCTTATATATTATAAAATTCATACTGTCTTTGGTCTGAAATTATGTTTAAACGTGGACTTATAAAGGGGTGACCTCAGATTCAGATGGTACAAAGCAGGGTGTCACTGAACTGATAGCGAAACAGTGTGAGTCTGTAGAGTCTATCAATATTTTTGTCATTTTATATGTATAAATATATATTCAGTTATATTCCTCTAAACCCGAAAGGGAGATAAAAATCAAACACAACTCATTAGGATAGTAATCACAAGTGTTTCAGAATACCCTGTATAAGGGAACTTTGAGTACAGAAGGGGATCTCCTATTTTGTGAATGGAGTTTTTAAGAATTCCCCCACCCCTTCTAGTCTCCTGCTAGCAAAGTGGGATCTGTTCTCCCCTCTAGCCCCTATATTTACTGTTGGGGTTCTACCATCTTTAAGGGAATTCCCCCTTATGCTTACCAGGGGAACCCCTCAAGAATGGGGCATCCCCAACCAATTTGTCCACTAATTTCACTTTAAGCAACCAATTTGTCCACTAATTTCAATACTGTCCAACTACAATTTTTTGATGAGGCTAAGCTCCTCTGCCTGGTTCATCTGCTCTTTTATGGTCAAGCTTGGCTTTCCTTTACTGCCTGGGTAGAAGCACTTTGCTTCTTTAGGTTCTAGGGACAATGGTAGGTGATTCTGTCTATGGGATTGACACGGGTCATCCACCAGAACTAAAGTGCCTGCGAACAGAGACTGCGTATTATTCACTCTGATACTACCCTAGCCCACTACAGCTGGCACATAGTGAGCAATTATTGTCTGTGGAATAATTTGTTGTATCTTTCCTTGTAATCAATTTTGTTAGGCAACTTTTTCTTCTTTTTTTCTTATATAAAAATTATTCTTTTTAAAGGTGTTGAGCTAATGTTTCCATTTATATTAAAAGTAATTAAAACCATGTACATACAATGAAATATTGCTAAACCTTGGAAAAAGAAGTCAGTCCTGCCATTTGCAACAACATGGATGATCCTGCAGGACATTGTGCTAAGTGAAATAAGCCAGATACAGAAGAACAAATACTAATGATTTCATGAATTAGTCAATCTGGTGGAATGCTGGTTGTTACGGACTAGAAGGGGAAACCAGAGGTACTAGTCAGAGAGGGAAAAATTTCAGTTATGTTAGATGAATAGTCTTAGAGATCTACACTATGGCATAGTGCCTATAGTTAACCACAATGTATACTTAAAATTTTGCTAAGAAAGTAGGTTTTATGGTGTTCTTCCCACACACAAAATAAAGGCAGTAGGATACTTGGAGGTGGTGAATGTATTTATAATACAGATTGTTGTGATAGTTTTATGGGTATATACTTATCTGCAAACATCAAATTGAGGACATTAAATGTGTGTAGCTTTTTGTATGTCTATCATACCTTAATAAAGGGATGTAAGCCAATAAAATCAATGATAATGATATAGCTGAATTATGCTAGCACTATTTTGTATGTAGCTTACAGTGAATTGCAAACATTTCATAGCTTATAGTGAATTACACAACATTCTTGTGAGTTAAGTCAGGGGAGTTATATTAGCCTCATTTAGTAGATGAAGAAATCTAAGTACAAAAACATTTACTGATTTGATTGAGGTTATTAGATGAGGCAAAAGAAAAAGCATATAAATATAATTTATATAACTATCCAATTAATAGTTATTGAGCATTTACTTTCTTAAAGCACTGGGCTTATATGTTGCTGAACAGAATAGCCATGGTCCCTAGAGCATTTACATATATAAATTCAATATGTGAATACAGTTATGGAGAGGAGTTTTAAAAGATGTTCACCAAAATGAGACAATAATTATCTAAGTAGCAGAATTTCAGTCACTAAAAAGTTTTTCTTAATATGTACTCTGTACTGTCTCATATTGAGAATATAATTTATAGTGAGTAATAAAAAAAATCAATAAAGGTAATTTCATTTTAGGGAGAAAAGTTTACTTTGATACTCAGTGACATGTTCTTCCTCAGAACTAGAAGTTCTGTTCATTCTTTTTCTTTACTTAATGTGAACTAATTTTACACCCCCCACCCCCTACCCCCAATAAACACAAAAGACTTAAAGGCTTAAAACCAGTGTTTCTTTTCTTAGAAAATTCCAATCCCTTTATGACACTGTTTATTTTTCAAAGGCTCAAGTTTACATGCATATGTATAGGGAAGCATCTATCTCAATAAACCAGGCATTCTGGCCCTGCCCTCTAATCCATTCTCCAGAGTGAAGCCAATAATCTTTACGAAACTCAAATCTGACCTTGTCACCCCACCCACACCCCACCTACAAAGGTTTAAATTATTTTCTGTTAGTCTGTATGGCAAAACAATTTTTAAATGCCTGTAGAACCCAGAATGGTCTGGCTGCCCTCCACCAGCCCAGCCTGGTCCCAGACCAGGTTCTCTCCTTCCCCCAACCCTTTCTTCTGGAAACTAGCCTCCTTCTGTCCTCCTTGTTTGCTTTGATCCCTGTCTGGCCTTTGCACGTTGATCAAAAAATCTTCCCTGTTTGTAAAGCTCTTCCCTTCCTTCTCCTAGCAAACCCATCATCTTAGATCACTTCCTCAGGGCAGCTTTCTCTGACCACC